TTTTTCTTTCGGATCGGTAGGCCCTTACCTATGCTATAAAAGTTAAACAAATATTGAATGAACTATCTTATGATTTTGGTTATTAAAAATTTATAAATGTATTTTGTAGCCCAGTAAAATTTGGTTGGAAAATTGAAAAAAAAAATAATTGTAACAGCGATTTTTTGATGCAGTTCACTTCTATTGGAAACGTAGATCATGGATCCACAGTCTTGCCCCTAAATTTCATTTGGCAACATTCCGCCATCTTGGATTTCAGTTTTTTTTTGGGTTTTTTGCGATTTGCAAGCTTATTTTGCATTTTTCGTAAAAAGGGGTTAAATACAAATATGTAGAGAATTTAATTTGCCACATTTATTATATAGAAGGTTTTTAAAACATTGAATTTTTTTTTGTAAAAAATTAGCAAAAACTTCGAAAAAATTTCACATTGTTGAAAATTGCTGTTAAATTTTTTTTTAACAAAAAGTCAAAATTTACTTGCTAATTGGATTTAGCTTACTGTTATTTATTTTTCATTCTCAATATCATGTTCAATTTTACTTATTTGATGAGAGATGGCTTGCCCGCTTTGTGACTTCGTAGAGTTTTAGTGATAAATGAAGCCACCAAGAAATATGTTTCAGTTTAAGTGCCAAAATACGAAGGTTATTCACATTAAAGAACTTTTTTTTTTTAAATTCATATGAGTAGAAATGTTTAATGAACGGCTATTACTAACACAAATGCCGGCTACAAATGGAGACGGACATGCAAATATCTACGTTTCTTAATGAATTTCAATTATTAACTACAAAAACAATTACATAGCAGTCAGCTAAGAATTCGTTAAGCGCTTTCCTATTTAAACTTCCACACAACGGCAGGCAAATACATAAGTGGCACAAATGCATATACATACATACAAATATGTGTGAATTTTGACAGCTTAAAAATTTATGCGAAATATGCTAAAGTGTATTGACTCTTTTGCGTGCTTAGTTTTTTAACTTGAAATGGATTTTCACAAATTTTTATGAGTTCTACGCATTTGCTGAGCTACCAAATTAGCAGTACTTGCTTTAGATTTGTGTCCACAGGGAGAGTGGCTTGTGGCTAAATAAAAAACTGTAAGTCCTCGACTAAGCAAGACACCATTGGCCTAAAGACAGCTGTGCAGTTGCAATGAGTGAGGTAAGGTGGTAGGCCCCATGTCTTATAGAGCGTTCTTAAATTACTCTTCTATATTCATCCTTGAAATCAGTTTACTGTCCATACAAAGAATATTTGGTAAATCGTTTAGGAGTAAGCGTAATATTTCCTAGCTCGTTTTGGGACGAAGATGTAAAATTACACTTTTTTCTTAATTCGAAGTTCGTCTTCTCTATGAAGATTTTCTTCCAGTCTCACATCATCCTTGTTCAGTTTTGAATATCTTTCAAAGTCAACTCAATAATTTTAGTCATTGAGTTTAGACATCTACCAGAGATGGTATCCAACCATTGACTGAGTTCAGTATTATCAAACCGAACTTTACCAAACATTTTGTAATTCTTGGCGGACCCACACAAAGAAGTTTGGAAAGCATCTGTGTGTGTAGGGGCGCTTGATTGCAATTGGCGTTCCTAATTTGTGTCGTTAACGCTTTTATAAGTTTAATCCTCTTAGGACCATAAGCCTTTAATTAAAAAAACATGATATTGCAAAATGTGTTGCATCGAGAGCGAAATAAACAACTTCGCGCATTAATAAACAAAAAAATCAATGTAAATAATTATGTCCCCCTAAAAAAATTCATTAATTTAAAAACTTATTTTTCCTAACTTTTTTATTCTAAAATATTTTTGTTAATTTAATTTTTTTTATACAATTATACATATTTTGCAAATCTAGTTTTTATTTTTTCCCAAACATTGGTTTTTCAGGGGGTTATTTTTTCCCGAAAATTTTTTTCAAACATGTTCTATAATTTTTATTTACAATATTTTCTAAAAAAAATATTTTTCCTATGAAAAATTTCTAATAATTTCCTAAAATTCCTAATAATTTTTTTCCCCTAAAATGTTTTTTCTAAAAAAATACATACTTATTTGTGCGCTTACATAACCAAAATATTATTTTTATTTTTTTAGTTTTATTCTCAAAAATAATTTTTCCTGATATAAATTTAACACAAAAGTATTTTTTTCTCCAAACAAAATTTGTGTTTCTTATGTTTGCATTTTTTTTTTTTATTTTGGGTAAATACATATCTTTCCTTAAAAAACTATTTCTTCATAAATTATGTTTTTTTTCGTACAAGTATTTTTTAACGAAAGTTTAGTAGAATGAAAATGGAGTAGTGTTTTCTAACAAGTTCAAATTTCAAAATAAAAAACTTATTTTCATAGTTTTTTCTTATTTTGATAAAAATATATTTTCTAAAATTTCTTAATGAGGCATATTCTAAAATTAAAAAATCAGCCTGATCACCAATTCCATGTAAATAAATCGTTTTAACAGGTAAAAGAAAAACCAATTGGGAAAAGTTGTTTTTGTTTTTTTTATAATTTTGGGGAATATTTGTTGACGTGAAATTCGCGATAAGTCCGAATGTAAAACTACCAAAAACTCACCAACAAGTTCCTTATGAGTGGAGTAACGTGTTGGGAAATACGTTTTCCTTGGACTTGGGAGGGTAAAATTTGTTTTTGGCTAAATTGATCTTACGAAATTTCTTTAAGATGATTAAGATTTTTTAATACTGTTATGTAAAAAAACTTCAAGTATCCAAGTAATGTGGAAATATAAAGAATACCTAGCATACGACATTATTCTATTGAGATGTTTTGTTTAAAAAGAAGTTCAACTAATTTGCGAAGTTTATTGCATATATTTCAAAATCTCCACTGATCCATTAATCTGACTTTTGTCGTATACATAATGCAAGCATATTTTATATAATTTCTTTGATGTGCTCTTGCCTTTCGAAATCAATATTGTTTTTACTACAGTATGTTTTCATATTTTTAGGGTCAGCGTTATTTTTATTTTCTGTATGTGAAAAAACGAAAAAAATAGTTGTTCAAACATAATTAACTCAAATGTGTGCCAATTTTAACTAAATCTTCCAGGAACTGCGGATCC